TCACCAGGGCAGAGTAGAGGGGGAGGAGTTTGATTAAGCCAAATTCATTTTTGTCCCATTCCTCAAGATCCAAGTGTTGAAATTTGACTGAATCATCAGCCTTTTATCCCGTTTGTGGTAATTACAGGAACAGCTAATGATGCCTCATGTGGCCACCTCATTGTTTGCGTGGAAACGTTCCACTTCAGGTATTTTTCCAGAAATACTGTCCTACAGCAGAACATTACCCAGCAAAACGTAGGGCAAAATATTTTCTTGCTGCAGAGAATGCAGCCGTGGGCAGGAAAGCCCATACTGGCTGTATCACACTGTTTAGCCACATTAGGAAGCAAATCTCACATTTGGAAGCAAAAATTCTTGCCTTTTGGGCACAGCTCCTTCCAAAGACCAGAGATCTGTTGCAACAAGATACTGCAGTTGGGATTTCTCTTCCCTCTGAGAGCTCTGGCAGTCTGGACTAATCAGCCTTTCAGAGCTGATAGAGATATATGAGTTTTCACCTCCCAGTGTAGGCATTAATTTAAGTCAGGTGAATTGCTCTCTGGAGGCATTTGTTTTTCCTGTTGACTCTAGAGAAGGCTTGGTACATCAGGTTGCTCTCCAGAGCTACAGAAAATGGCCTCTGAGCAGGTCCCTTGCTTACAACACTTGGTTACCCTCACTTTTTTTTTATTTTTATTTTTTTAATCCTTTGACCACTTAAAGCAAGCCTAGCAGCTGGATGCTTTCCTGTTCAACCTGCTGTAGGAAACCTGCTTTAGCAGAGAGCTTGGACTAGATGATCTCCTGAGGTCCCTTCCAACCTCTATGATTCTATAATTCTGTAAGAAAGAACAGGATCCTCACTCAAGGAGCCTTTTGGCCCTCAAGTTCTCAAATGCTTCTCATGGATGATGCTTATCATAGAATCATAGAATGGTTAGGATTGGAAGGGACCTTAAAGATCATCTAGTTCCAACCCCCCTGCCAGCAGCAGGGACACCTTCCACTAGACCAGGTTGCTCAAAGCCTCATCCAGCCTAGATGATGGAGCCATGTGCATATTATGACTTTGTTTAGGATGTGTTCCTTGGTCATAACCAGAGAAAGGACAGCCTGGTCTTCCTGAAAACTTCAGGCCATGCCACAGTCTTGCTTATGTTTTCTGTTTTAAGAGGTTGAAGCCCCAGCTATGCAACCAGACCTTCTTTCAGCTGTACTTCAGTAAGGAGACCTCACAACAGCAATAACAGTTTTGCAACAATTTATTAGCAATGTTCAGAGAAAATACAAAATCCTATTTACAGTGAAATCACAAGAATGGCTGGACAAAAGGAACAGGGGGATACAGAGCCAGGGTCTGGAGGATGCAGGGCTCAGATAAAGGGTATCCACACGGAGGAAGAGAAGCAGCCCTGCACCTCACTTGCACAGATGGTCAGGGAACGCAGGAGGAACATGCCTATAGCTATATGCCACCCCTCATCCTGTGTTACTTGGCCTCACGAGGACTTCCACCTCTCTGGTTTCATACATATTACTCACTGCTTCAGTCCAAGTGTTTTCAGCAGGTCTGGCTTGGATGGACTGCAAGCCATGGGGTCAACGAGGGGACCAGGACATGCGCAAGAAGGGAACCCTATGGATGTGGCATGGGAGAGCAGCAAGCCATCCCCACTCAAGTGGTCTGGAGATGGAATAGGTGCCATGCAAGCTTTTCCCACGCAGGAGCAGAAAGCCAGGACATAGCAGCAGCTCAGGCAGCAGCAAAATTACTCCACACCAGAAGGAAAAAGAGCAAGAGATCCAGAGTGGGCTGCAGATCAGTGTTCTCCTCCCCAGGTCCCAGGGTATGCAGAACCAGTTTGGAGGAGTCCCAGTGCAGAAAGTCCCAGGCTGCAAAGCTCTGGTCTAGATTGTCCTCCAGAAGAGGAGTTTTAGGACTATTTCAGAATCAGAACTCATCACCTCACTCCATACTCCCTCCTCAAAAGCTGGAAAGCAGAAATACCAACAAGGCCTTTTCCTGCACAGCCATTCTGCTAAGATATTTCAGAAGTGCCTGCATGGGTCCGAGCCAGAAATTTGCCTCTTTAAATTCCTATTTCATAAACTTTTTGGGTGCCTCCTATGCTGTCCCCTCTCCCAATTCTGCCTGCTCAGCAATTCAAGGCCCTTGTTTCTTCTCTGCAATGCACTGCAGAATCCAGTGGGTCATGAACTTCACGCTGACATCACCTGATCGTCTCCTTTATCCCTAAAAAGATTTTGGCTTTGTGGGTTGGGTTTTTTTGTTTGTTTGGGGGTTTTTGGTGGGTGTTGGGGAAGAAGTTAAGGTAGAAGGCATCAGTTGTGCTTCTGTATGATCATGGACAAGGTCAGTGCAGCCATAGAGGGGCTGAAGCATTTTTATTCTCTGCACAGTAACTTTCCTTTACCCAGCTCGGGGCATTGAACACGTGCGGCAGGAAGATACAACATGTGAAGGGTAAAAGCCAGGGCAGCAGCAGAGGAGGAATGTGTGGTACGGAGCATTTTGGCATCGCCTCTCTATCACACAGGGATTGCTAGAGGCAGCTCGGTGACGCACTTGCCCTGGCATTCCCAGAGAGATGGAAGATACGGGTTTCTTTAGGAAGGATCACTTTTTAAATAAGAGCAAAAGGCCTCTTATCTCCACCTGGAGCTTTACAGTTAGAAATTAGCCAGCTAATCCCCAAACAGGGGAATGTGAGCAAGGGGAAGATGGAAAGTTACCTGAGCGCTCAGAGGCATCCAGTGCCCTCACTGCCATCTCCATTTGGGAGAGCAAATCTGGAAAATGACCAGAGGAAGAGGAGACATTGGTGTTTGCTACCAAGCAGTGTCTGCTTTGAGCAACAGGCATTCACCCTGGCCTCAGTCTCTGGCTACTAACCACTTAGGACCATTAATCTCAAGCAAACAAGACAATTTTGTGAAGGCATCAGATCCTCATGATGGGTCATAAGATCTCAGCCACCTATTTCCCACATCAGGAGGTGCCTGGCTTTGCATGGGCTCTGAAACTCAGGTTCTTTCATCTCTTCTTTGCCAATAAACCTTCCATGGGATCACAACCCTCCCAGATGAGCCTGCAGATGGTAGTCCTGCTATCCCACTCTGGGAAGGAAAGAAAGTATGTCCTGAGCCCCATGGCCAAATGCAAAGGATACAGAAGAATTCCTCCTACAGGGACATTAGGGATGTCCTCAAAGAGGCTGCACATCCTGAACAACAGGTTCCCTTGTGCCTGGAGGACTGATTGCTGGGACATCCAGACTACGTGATCCTGTGCTCCTCACTTCTAAAAGCAGGCACTATCAGGAATATATCTCTGCAGAAGCCACAAGGCTCTAAATGAATGCAGGAGAGAAACAGGGGGACACAAGCATTTCCCTAGCCTTTTTCCCTTGTTCAGCTGGTTTTCCTGCCAGGATCCTAACAAAATTCCCTGCTCTCCTCCCCTTAATGTTATTTTCCCTTTGCAGAACTCTTCTCAGCACTTCAGCATCCCATGATGTTCAGAACTCAGACAACTCAGACAGCCTCTGGGGAAAAGATGATCTTGGTCTCATGCTTCCCAGTCTCTGGTCTGGTTTGAACTCAGCAGGAGTAGAGGGAGCAGAAGAGACATAACACTTAAGCCCTGCTTTGCTTTCTGGGTCACAAAGGCCTAACAGCATATATACAAGCTGCAAAAGGAACCCAGGAGGCTTTGCTTAGCTGGTTGAATGGAGCCTGCTAGTGGGCCAGAAAGGGTGGGTTTGTTTTTGCTTGGTGGTTTTATTTGTAACCCTCTTATTTTTTTAATTTTTTTTTTTTTTTTTAAACACTTGCATCTTGCCAGCAAAGAGAGAATACTGCCTTGCTGCTCTCACTCCTGGCTGGAGCCAAAGAACTGGAGGAAGAAAGAGAAGATGTAGATGATGTCCAGATAGATTTTGAGAGCTCCAAAGATGTATTCCTCTGGGTTCAGTGAGTACCGACGATTCCCTATCAGCATCTGGGTATCAAATGCCAGGAACTGTGAGGAAAGAGGAAGAAACCCAGTGAGTCACATGGAGATTTGGCACAGGGAGGCAAGAAGTGCTCTAATAACAGGAGCTCTCCCAATTGCTTCACTGTACCCAGAACAAAAGTGCAGCCACTTTTTATGGGCTGTAACTGCAATTTAAAAGCACAGAACAATGCACTGAACGAACTGCAACTTTCCCCTTCCTTTATTTCACTCTTGATAGTCAAACCCTGAGCCTATTACTCCAGATGTGCTTCCTTCATGCTTCATCCATCCCAAATGTGTCCCAGGATCAGCTCTGGAGTAGTTCTCCCTGTCAACTAGTCCCTAACACTTGTTATTCCCAGACTTTTCCCAGTTCAGAAACACCTGCCAGGTAACAAAGTGACCTGGACCCAACATGACATTACAGCAACAGCAGCACTAGAATAAAAAAAGAGCAAGAAAATCCAGATACTGGGCAGCACCAAGGTCTGCAGAGCTGACAGCAGAGGTAGCTGGACCCAGAGAGGAGCCAACACCTTCCTGAGGTACAAACACGACTGAGTGCAGGGCAGATTTTACTAATGAAGCCATCGCAGTGGGAATCCATCGCCCAGCCTGCCTACAGGGACACAGCACTCACAGGAACAAACATCAGCTACAAGGCAGGCTGGTGGCCCAGCTGCAAGAAAACCTGCGCTTTGTTGCATAACTTCAGTCCCAATATCTTCTCCCATCTCACCTTTACTCCTTCTGTTAACCTAGCCCGTGACAGACACCTTGGCATGGAGCTCTTCAGGGTTGCCAGGACATCTTTGTCATCGCCTGGGGTCAACTGGCACCTCTGCCCTCCCCAGTCATAAATAACAACTGATCTCCCCAGACATTGTCAGTCTGAACTGACAAGTCTACTCCACCAGCTGAGGTTCTGACTGAAGTTTATGGGGTAATTATAAGATGTTTAGCCTACTTGTATTTTACAGAAGAGTCTTTAGTCATGAATCACAGAAGAAATAGCCGAGCTCACTTGAAATTACTTTTATAGCTAATAAATGAAATTGCTCAACTGTTCTTATTCACAACATGCCCAATGGGCACCGCCTCGAACCCCAAGGCAGCCCTCCTCCTGACCCCCACCTTGAAGTAATGCCAAGCATCCTTCCAGACAACTCCTGCACCTGAATGGCAAGCACAGCACTGCCAGGACTTGCTCTGGGAAGAGCTTGTAGGAGGAATTGCCGGGGAGCAGTTGAAGGAATGAATTGAGCCTTTTCAGCTTTCCTTGGAGAAGCTACCTAGCTTCAGGGCTTTTCCTGCCTGCAATGAACCTTCCCAATGCCCCTTAATCCCAAACAGTGACTTCTCACTGTCTTTCTGTACCTCTGTTAGTCAAACTCATACTCAATCCTTGGCCTACTCCCACTCAACCAGCCCCAACTTGACTTTGCTCACTTCTGCAGCCTCATTCCATCCCCAGGCTCCCTTTGAGCCTCACAGTCCAGCTCCTACTGCTGTGCCAGAGCTTAATCTCCACTTTTCCCACTCTAGAGATGCCTTTTGCCCTGTCCCTACCACGCTTTCTGCCAATCACACCTACTATTGCGCATACACCGTGGGTTTGCCAGTCGCACCGTGCTCTGCACCAACACTGTCACGGACATCAACACCTTCTCAGGACAATGCTGAGGTCACTGCAATAATTGCATCAGAGGGAGTGGAGCTCTCTGCAATCCTACAACTCGCTCTTCTCCCTTCCCTAAGCACCCTGCAAAGCTAAAAGCATTTACTCTTGGCTTATTTGCTTATTTTTTTCCTGCCACCAACATTCCCAGGACCCATGACCAGCACCACTTTACCATAGTAAAGATAATGGCACCAAGCAGAGCGTAGATCGCGTGGAGCCAGGGGACCTAAAGGAAACAAATCCATCAATCAGTGCCTGGGAGAAAACTGGTTAATTAGGACTTGACACAGAAGAAGACTTTGCTCATGTGGAGGATACAAGTTAGGGAAAGTGCTCTAGTAGCCCTGGGTGGACTTGCACCACTTGCAGCTCCAGTGCAGTTTTTGTTGAGCTTTTCATGGCAAAGAATAGGTCACCGTGCCTCAGTTTCCCCTCTCACTGTTGCTTTTTGTGTTTGCTTGGCTTATAAACTCCTAAGTCAGGTACTTGTGTTTCCAAAGAGCCTATTTCAAGCCAGCTGCTGTCTATGGAAATGACTTTGCACTATCCTGTTGGAAACACATTTTGCTGCAGCCCAGACAAGGCTGATCCCACTGGAAGAAACACCAAATGCTTCTAGGGGCCAGACCCAGCTTTGATTAACACATGTAACTTAAATGTTTTCAACTGCTGGAGTCACAGCAGCAAATTCACTGGAATTAAGACCAAACCTCAACCTCTGCTTGCTGTAGCACACAGCGCTAATGGAGAAGTTGGCCTGTATTCCAGGAGAAGGTGCCCACATGGGACAGCTGATTCAACCCAGAGATCTTCAGCCTTTCTCCACAGATAGACAAGCTCATTACAAGCTGCCTCAAGCTATGCTTATCTTGACAAGCTGCAAGATAAAGAGCAGTTGTCTCAACTGCAAGCTGGCTTACCCTCACGTTTGCACAATGGAGATGGATCTCAAGCCAAGACAACCAAAAAACCAAGCTCCTGCTTTTAGAAACACCAGGCTGTATATTTGTCCATCACCAGACCAACTCTAGGGCTAGTACCAGCGGGAGTGTCTCCTGCAGGTCTGACCCTTAGTATGGCTCAGGTCCCCAGAGAAGGTGTGAAGGGTTTGGGGATCACTTAAAGGTTGTCATGATCAAAGCTGGGTGCCTCCTCTCCAGCACAAGCTTGCATTCAGGGTGATTAATGGTGGCTGCAAAGCCCCACACACCTTCCCTCTTTCATCAGCATCTTCCAGGGTCTGTCAGGCCCTTGCTTGAATGACAACTCACCTAATGAGACACTCTTGGATGGAGACCAGACAGTCTGTGCTGCCACACCAAATCCTCTATCAGGTGTGGTCACAAGCCACTCCAAGATTTCATTTGGTCACAACCAACACCAGCTGTGACCAGGGAGGCTGAAGGAAGGGGCTGGCAGCAGTTGGAGGTGTGACAAGGTGGTCACTTAGCATCAGGACTTGTCCCTGAGGTCTGAATGACCCTTCAGAGGTGCTTATTTCTGAGAGATCTGAGTCTCAAGATTTAACCACCTCAGGATGGTGCCTGGTGTTAGTGTGAACAGAGCCAGGTCTGGCCAGACAGGCACCCCACTGCACTTCTCCAGACTCCAAGTCCTGCCCTGAATCTTGGGCAAAAGCCTTGTTTTGTATGGAGCAGAGCAGCACTTTAATATGCTCACTACCCTGGTTTTACTGGAGGGGAAACTGAGGCAGGAGCAGGTGATGTGACCTGCTGTGGGGTCACTATAACAGTTCCAGGAACAGAATCAAACTTCCTCAAGCTCTAGGCCAGTGCTGTCCTACAACCTGATATCTGATTGTACAACAAGAGGGCAACAGCCACTTGGTCTTGCCTTTTCTTTCTCTTGGTGTTTCTGCACATTTTTGGAGAGCAGGCTGGGACACCCTAGATCTTGTCCAGTTTAGGTTGCTCAGCTCCCAACCTTGCACCAGGACTGGGGGTACTTGGTGAGGAAGGAGAGACACAGGTTGTTACTCACATATTGGTAGGGCAGTATCACAGCCAGGATGATGCCACCGAAGAAGAGCACCATGAGCATGACGAAGAGAACACCCTGGTAGGAGGTGAAGTCAAACTGTGGAGGTAGAGAACATCACGTAACAAGTGCAGAACTCTGGAACAGGAGGTAGCAAGGGGAGCCAAACATCCCCATGTCCACAGGGAGGGTCTCTCCGCTCCAGCAGTGCACCCATCTTGCTGTCTCATGGGAATTGCTCCATCTGCATCTTGGGTCCTATAGCCCAACACCCATCTGTATGACACACAGAGCCGAGTGCTGACCATACCCCCTTTATTGCCATGGGCAAGACCTCGGTACCCACCACATACCTGAAATCCAAGAGCCCATCATACACGTGTGTCAGTGCCCTTCTGTACCCCACAGCCCAATCCTCCAAAAAACACAACCTGTCCCCATGAATTAGCATCCTCTGGCCCCATCTGTATCCCTGACACATCCCTCACCCCAGCATAGAATCCCAGACTGGTTTGGGTTGGAAGGGACCTTCAAGCTCATCCAGTTCCAACCCCCCTGCCAGCAGCAGGGACACCTTCCACTAGACCAGGTTGCTCAAAGCCTCATCCAGCCTGGCCTTGAACACTTCCAGGGAGGAGCAGCCACAGCTTCTCTGGACAACCTGGGACACTGGCTCACCACCCTCACACCAAAGAATTTCTTCCTCACATCTCAGCTCCATCTCCCCTCTGCCACTTTCAAGCCATCACCCCTTGTTCTCTCACTCCCTGCCCTTGGCCAAAGTCCCTCCCCAGCCTTCCTGGAGCCCCTTCAGGTACTGGGAGGCCACTAGAAGGTCTCCCTGGAACCTTCTCTTCTCCAGGCTGAACAGCCCCAACTCTCTCAGCCTGTCCTTACAGCAGAGCTGCTCCAGCCCTCGCATCATCCTTGTGGCCTCCTCTTCTTGTAACCTTCACTTTCATGTGTGAAGTGTAACCTTCACTTCACTCACAACCATCCCTCAGGTTGCTCCTATATCCAGAGCCCTACAGACCTGCCCCTCACACCTCACCCCCAGCACTACCTGACCCTGTATCCTACCTCTTGGAGATGCCTCTCCCAGAGGGACTGATCAACACAAACTCACCTTGGTCTGGAAACTGAAGATGGTGACAGACAAACACACCAGAGCTGTGATCCCCAGACACAGAAGGACCGACTTGGTGTTGTAGTAACTGCAAAATTAACAGCAAAACCTTTTTTTTCAGTGTTTCCCACAAGGACAGGTGGAAGGAGGGATTAAGACAGGCAGAAGCTTAGCAGAGGTGTCCAGGGAAAGCGTGAGTCCGAGGGGCACAAATGACACTGCAATTATCAATGTCCCCCCTTAATGTAAAAAGGGAAATATAGAAAACACTTTAAAAACCCCAAAACTTGATGGGTTTTCCTCCTGTTTTAAATAGAAGACAGTAGGCAGGAGGGCATGTCTATGCCTCCTGGGAACTCAGGAGCAGCTACGATGGGGACTTACTATAAAAATCTCTCTGTCCATGGACAGATGGAGAAGGGGGAGGATTCAAACTGGGAGGTAATAAAAATAGAACGACAAATGTCATCGCAGCACAATGAGAAATGGGAAAGCTGCAGCCACTCTTACGCTACTGATGCGCTCGGAACAGGGGTTTGAGTCTTGGAAACTGCAGAGAAGGAGGGATCTGAACAGGTAGAGAGGCTGCAGGTGTAGCTTCTAAGGGTTTTTTATAGGTCTGACAACTGATTTTGGTTACAGCACCAGGCTCAGCTCTAAGAAAAACCAGTCCCCACTCTCCCCTTCGCTTTGATTTGAGACTGATATCACTGGTATTTTCTCTGAGTTGCTGAAGCCACTACTTTCTTTGTCCCCAGCACACGTCCATCAACACCCACTCGCTCATCTGCCTCATCACCAGGGACCCACGTGAACCAGGGCTGATCCTGTGAGCAGATTGTAACAGGAAAAACACAAGCAAAAGGGAGTGAGCTATAGACTACAAAAAAAAAAACCAAACCCAAAACCCAACCCTGAAACTGCTGGAAAAAAACTCCTTGTCTCACTCCAGCTCCATCTGCTAGAGTGCTGTAGTGGAAAAGGTGAGATCACAGTGTCTGGTAGTCCCCTATAGCCTACCCCACCGCCTTGTCCCTGGCTCTCTAGAGCTCTCCTGTAGGGTTTAGCATAGCCAGGAACCACCCCGTGCTGCCTCAACTGTGACAGAGACGGGGATGTCACCATAAGTCTTGGAGAGCTTTAAAAAATGTTTTCAAAAGGGAAGGTCAGGCTTTGTGTGGCTACTGGAACAACTCCAAAGAGATCAGGTGGCCCATATATTTCAGAAGTAGGGAACTCTTGTGCAGAAAAAGACAGGACATAGGAGCAGAAGACCTCTAGAGACCTCATGCTCAACCTACCTGGAGAGCATCCCAGTGAGATAAGCCATGGAGAGTGTCTGGGAGGGAAAAAGAACCACATTACTCCTGCATTCGTGTCCCAGGGAGAGACACGCAGCAGCAGATAAAACATTTCAATTACAGTGATAAGGGCTGTGAAGCCTCTTAAACAGATGCTCAAGAGAAGCAATTTGTGCATAGTTTCTAATCCTCCAGTGATTAATATCACCAGGGCAGGTTAAAACGAGGGCAGGGCACCACCCTGAGAGCAGTCCCACCTTCTCCATCTCTCTACCCCTCCTGCATGGGACTCCAGCACCCTACCCCAGCTCCCACCACTGAGCAGCCTCCTCAGGAATTGTTTTAAAAGAGGCTCCCTTCTTTCCTGCTTATCACATTCTCGTTCAATTACAGCTCCTCAGCCCAAGTGCAAGGCAATTAGAGGATGAAATTCCTGCTTTTTGGAGGAATCCAGACCAGACGTCTCTCTTGCTTGGAGCCATTATGAAACCCAGAGCTTGTTGCATGGGCAGGGCAGATGCTGTCCAGATGTGCTACTTACAAAGATGCTCAGCAGGATCAGATTCCATGGGAAATACCTCCTGCAAATGAAGAAACAGGAGGGGGGTGGTCAGCTCTGTGATGTGGAGAGCCGAGGTACTTCGCAGCACTGCACAACAGGTTGCATAAGATATGTCATATAATGAGGTTCTTGTTGAACCTCATCAGGCAGAAAGGAACCTGATGAGGTTCAACAAGAACAAGTGCAGAGTACTTCACCTGGGGAGGAATAACCCCATGCATTGGTACAGGTTAAGGGTGACCTGCTGGAGAGGAGCTCTGAGGAAAAGGACCTGGGTGTGCTGGTGGGCAGCAGGTTGTCCATGAGCCACCAGTGTGTCCTTGTGGCCAGGAAGGCCAACAGTATTCTAGGGTGCATTAAACAGAGCATGGCCAACAGGTCGAGAGGTTCTCCTCCCCCTCTACTCCGCCCTTGTGAGGCCA